GCGGCTCCTTACTTCCCATGCGTCCTTCGCCCCCCGCCCACCGCATGCGTTGCTGGAGGCTGAGCCCACCACCACCCCACTGCCTGGGCCGTGCTGGAGGAGCACTTGTGGGCGCTGCCATTCAGCTTCCTTTGGCATCTCAAGCTGGAGGCCACCCCTGGGTGCTTGTGTTGGGTTACAGGCAAGGCAGCGCCCACCCCATCCAGTGGAGCCCCATAAGGGGAGGCTGAGCCGCCATGCCAGGGCCAGCACCTACACGGATGGGGCATGGATGGAGGCTTGGCCTGGCATTCTCCTTTAGACTCTCTGCTGTACCAGGGAGGAGGTCAAGGTTCATTAGCGTTTCCTTCTTGCAACATAAGAAGTAGGAGCTGTGTGCTTGAAGACAGGGTGCTATGAAAAAGGTGAAAACATTTGGGAGGATTTCTTCCCCTAGGGTAAATGAAACAGTGCCGATTTCTACAGTTGGTCCACCAAAGCAAAATGAATGGGAAAAGAAGTGCAAGCCAGAAAAGGAATTCTTGGCTGAAGAACATGAGAGATAAGTTGGGAAGCCGAACAACAGGATGGTTTAGAGTTGCCCCTTCTAAAGTGAGAAGTGATACGGTACCATCCCTTCTGCAGGAGAAAAGAGAAATAGAAGGAAAACGGCATGTTTCAGGTTCAAGGCAATTATTGAGTCTGTGGCAAAGCTGAGATTCGGGCCAGGATTTCCTGGCTCACTCTCCTTCTTCATGATCCTGAGGGTGCTGCGGAAGAGCACATCCAGGTTCCCACTCAAGTTTCAGTTCCTGATGAGAAATGGGGCAGTTGCTCTGGGCTTCCTCTTTGTTCCACAGAAAGAGGCCAGGCTGGCCATTTCTCCTCCTTTCAGTCTCTGTCCGATGGTTCTCCATTTCCTACTTGCTGCCACTGCTGGTGCCTTGTTTCCTGCTGTCATGCTTTTTCAGAGAGATCCTGGGACACCACCCACCCATGTGATGCCTGCATTTCCTTGAGTTAGCCCAATACAGCAATTCTGTGCTTATAGTAATATAAATGAATCTATGGGCCAGGAATGGAGTCAGGTGCCATGGCGAGCTCATGGACTCTGGTTTTCTTTTACTCATGTATTCTGGCAGCCAAGAAGCGTTGCTCCTTGTCCCTGTGCAGTTGATGCTTTGAGCCAGTTGTGCGGTGTCCGGCCTGCTCAGAGTTCTGGCCAGGTGTCCCTCTATCAAGAGATCTTCCTCTCTGATAGCAAGTTTCTCTTGTTACATCTAGTGCATGGTTAGGGGTCAGTAGTCACTGAAAATGTGCAAAATGTTTCAGGTAGTTGAGTTGCATTTTCTTTCCACTGAGACACAGAAGTTAAGTGGCTTTGTACAGTGTCCTAGCCAGATTCCTTGTTTTTACACAAAATAATCTTCTACATTAAAGTTCCACCACCTTATCACCTGCCACCATTCCCAATAAATATGAAACCTCCAGCTGCCCCACTGGTCACCTTTCCTTCCAGCTTTTTTCTTTGTTCACATCAGAAGCACCACAGTGAAATTAATAAATGTATTTTACCCCACTTTTCTCCTGAAAAGGGGCCCAAGGTGGCATACATAATTAAAAGACAACATTTAAAGCTGAAAACAATGAGTATACAAATATTAAAAAGGATCAAACAGATAGCAGTCTGAGAAATGGTAAAGAAAAGCAATACAAAAAAAGCCGCTCAGAGTGGTCGCATAGACCAGATGGGCGGGATACAAATCAAATAAATAAATAAATACTTAAAATGTATTTACAGCAGTAATGCATAACAAACTATTTAAAAATCTGACACAGGCAGCCAGTCAGTGAGAGAAATCAAAATGTTGCCTGTTCTTTTCAGCACTTTCAAAGGAATCTGTCCAGGCAAAGCCCCCATTTCCTTGGGTTCACTTTCATTCTGCAAAGTGAAGTCTGTAGCTTATTAGGTAACTTCCAGGTATCCCAGTTCTTTGCATGACCAGAGACTAAACGTCTCTGGGATTCCATCCATTTTAAGAGATGGCAGTTATTTCTTTCCACCTTATATTCCTGGTCTTCTATGCTGTTCCTTCAGGGTTCGCAGATATTCTGAAAAAAACACTTTTTCTTGTTTTTAATTGAGGGAGGGAATGGTGGCCAAAGAGTTGAATTTGATATAAATGGGCTGAGCCTTTCCTTGCTAACTGTTGCCTTTCTCCATATGGCACTGGGTCCAGTGCTTGCTTGGTGGTTGACTTTATTAGTGGGGCATCCAGTGATTATTGTTTTCCTTTTAACTGTGCCCCCCACCACACCCACCAACAGCTGCCCCTTCTCCACACATCCCTCCCTCCCTTCTCTGGGGCAGTCCCTTTTCATGAGAAAATCCAGGCTTTTTCATCTCCACCCAGTTTCTTCACACTCATCTCAAATCACCTTCCCCCTATTTGCTTTCTTCTCTGATGCCCTGTGGGTGCTGAGGACCAGGGTGTGGTGTCTGGGGTTGCCATCTTCACCTGTCAGCCTTGTACTTTGGCTGGAGATTCCCAAAGATGCCCTTTCAAGCACAGTAGTTCAATATCGCTGATGTGGATGATGACTGTGCTTACCCAGTACACATTCTGAAGACTGCATTGATATCCTTCACTTTGAGAAAGGACTTTGCTCCCTTCCCCAGTCTGCAGCTCTTTATGTTTCATTGCCCGATTGTCTGAGTACAGAGGATGTTTTATGGGGTGAACTCTGAGAAGGAGGAGGAGAAAGACATTCTGAAATGCTCAGCATTGATAGGGAAGTGGGGACTCCTGCTTTCTCTGTAATTTTGCAGATTTCCACTTATCTCTGAAGGGGACGGGAAGGATAATCCAGGTGCCATTCCCCAGACCTGCCATGAGATGGCACCACAGGCCTTATTCTCATCCTTTGTCTGCCTAAATATCATGGGCCAGGTTTCCCCTCTGTTCTCTGAGTGCTGAGTTCCAAACAGGTAGTTGCTTTTGAAGTCTGGCTCCCACCCCCCTTGGCTTTTTATAGACTCTGAGAAGTGAGGATGTAAGACATTACCCAGAAAGAGCTTGACCACTTCCTTGCAGAAAGCAGCGAACAGTTTTCAGTTGGGCTCACCTTAGATCTTTAGGGGCAACCCTGGCATTTAAAAATCATCCTTAAGTTGCCTGTGAAGGCACATCCCTCAGGAAGAGATAGTTGGAACCAGCCTGACAAAAACACAGAGGAGGAAGAAGCGGTGCGGTTGGTGTCTGTGTGTCGTCAGCCGTCATGTCATACGTGCCTAGGCTTTCCCAAAGCTGAATGGGCTTTCTGTATGGGAGGCAATCTTAGATTCCTTCAGGATAATCAATAAATTGAATTCTCAGCTTCAGACTATAGTTTGGCATCTGTCTTAATTGCAGTGGTGGCTCTTCCTAGCGCCTTACAGGCTGAACATGTGTTTATGTCATAAACTTTTTTTATGAGCTGGGGCCCATTCCCACAGTTGCATTTGCCCTCTGCTTGTATCTGAAGCAGCCACAGGCCTCTTCTCATATTGCAAATATCCACTGGCTGCTAGAGTGGACCAGAGAGTTTCAGAAGGAAATCAGTCTACAACTGATAGACTACAGCAAAGCCATTGGTTTTCCAGGAAGTGGCCATATTGGATTCATTCAGTTGCATCAGCCCAGGAAGGATTAGGGGCTACTCAAGCATCTCCATGAGGTTGGAGCTGCTCAGTGTTTGGAAGTGACCAGGGTATGGGTTTGGGTTTGGGGCAGCTTCACTTTGAGTGCAAGGAGGAGACAGCTGTGCCTGTCAAACCTGCTGACCATTGGCTTTTGTGGGTGGCATACCTGAGCCAATGTGTTGTGGCTCCTGGCAGCTGCCAGCTCCAGCTTCTCCAGATGTCAGGCCTTTGTGTTCAGGCCGTGTGGCACAGAGTTTAGGGATTCAGCTCCCCATTCCACCCTGGGGCTACGTCACATTCTCCAGGTCAGGTTAATTTAGGTAGGGAAAAATCCCCAGGTGTTTCCTCGGATTGGAAATGGGGTTCTAGAACCCAAGCCTGTTTGCCCTTTCATGCTGGATTCACTGCTGTGGATGGAAGAAGGGGACCAGCCTGTTTGCCCAGCCTGCTGGGGGGCTCTCTTCCAGTATGGTTTCCAAGCTTGGCTTAAGCAGCTCTGGTGAATCGTCTTGGAGCGACACGGAGAGCGTCATAAGATCACATACTGGGCGAGCTTTCATTAGTGTAATAAGCCTTATAAACAGCCACTTTTCTTTGGCATCCAGGTAGAAAAGTAAGAGGGTGGCTATAAATGTACATATATTTCCTGTGTCTTGAGTTTTTACAGTAGGATATGTATGGTTATAACAGTTACTTTTGTGAGCTTCCTGAAAAGCCAGACATAAACGTGTGGAAGTGTTTGCACAACCCTTTCCCAGGGCAACAGAGGCAGGAAACTAGGTGTGGTGGAACAGTGTTAGAAGGCCAATAAAACTTCCCAGTGGAAAAGAAAGTGTTTTTTTTTTAAATCTGGTTCACCTGGCCAGGTGAAAAGGTGCTCAGAGCTGTTAGGCTTCTTGGTTAGGGGAGGCCCATGCATAGCCTTCTCCAGGGCCTTAAATGCTGCTTTTCAAATGTAAAGCATTCCATGCTGCTGCCTCCCATGGGTCAAGAGAGGGGTCCCAAGGCCTCTTTTAATTCAGTGCATCTGCCAAAGTTGGCCATCCTAGCCAAGACTCTAAAGAGGGTGTAAAACCACCCAAGGGATTCTACAAAGGGTCCCCACAGTGTGCCATGTGCTTAGCCATTCCTAGGGCAAAACTCTATCCTAACCCTAGGGCCAAAGTTTTCCTGGGACAGAGGGGCTGCCCTTTTCGAACCCTGCCCCAGGATTGTCACGCTGGTGCCATCAGACCAGCCACTTCATCACTCCATTGCTTGGGAATTGTTGTTATGATGCCTCTGTGCTGATCAGGCACAGGCTCTCTGTCTGTCTGTAGCATTCCTTGAATCAGGAAAGCCCCTGCCATCTTTTTTCAGACCTGAAGCTCCATCTCCAGAGTACGGACTATGGGAACTTCCTGGCCAATGAGGCTTCCCCACTCACGGTCTCCGTCATTGATGACAAGCTGAAGGAGAAAATGGTAGTGGAGTTCCGCCATATGAGAAACCACGCCTATGAGCCTTTGGCCAGCTTCCTGGATTTCATCACGTAAGTTCCAGGTGCCTGTTGGGTACCAGAAGACCTTGGTAGCCTCTGGCAGGGAAAGTGGTGGCTTTGGGACATGAAGCCACCATTCCAGGGACTTTGAGGGTCTTCCCTGCCAAGTAAAGCACCACCGTCAGCTTGGCCTAGAAGGGATCTTCTGACGTGCAATCCTCAAACCTGTTCTTGTTATGCACCTGAGAGGCTTAAATGGGTTTAATTTGTATCTTTTTATTTAAAGGTAAGCTCATTGTTTTATCTAGCAACAGGGTTTGTTGTATTCTATTCTATTTTTAATGTACACAGTGATTTCTACTGTATGATTTTATTGTATGTTTTGAACCACCCATAGAAAAGAGAGAGAAAGAGACAGAGAGAGAAAGAAAGAAAGAAAGAAAGAAAGAAAGAAAGAAAGAAAGAAAGAAAGAAAGAAAGAAAGAAAGAAAGAAAGAAAGAAAGAAGCAGAGCAGGGAGTGTCTCTGAAACCTCCCGGTGGTCCCTCAAGAGCAGCCACAGCAGAGGGAGAGGCAGATCCTCTCTGCAGCGCCTGCTGATCCCCAGCCCCACTTCTTGCCTGCCTGGTCCTGCCATCCCAAGTCCAGCCAGCTGGGAGCAACTGCTGCCTCTTGGCTTGATATGAAGGAGGAAGGGGAGCCACTGCCCAAAGCAGAGCCTGCTGCCTGTATCCTACATCGGCTCTGGTTGTGTGTGTGTGTGTGGGGGGGGCATCTCTAAACGAAGCCAGGGAGAGAAAGGCTTGTGGGATGCAGCAGGAAGGGCAGGAGGGAGGGAGGGAGGGGCCAACCTTGGACTGCTTTTTGTGACAGCAGTCCTGACCCAGGAAGGCAGTTTTTGGGCCAAGGACAGCTCAGTCGTGGGGGACAGGAAGGGGGAAGCAACAGGAGAGTCTTATAAGGGAATCTTCTGCTCGTTGGGTCTTAACTTTACAGAGGATGAGGTGATCTCCAAGGGCAGCAGTACCGGGAAAGGGAACAAGAAAAATGCTGCGAGAGAAGAAAGGGGACCGAGCTTTTGGCAGGATCCTAGGGTCCCAGGGCAGTTCTAAGTACCAGACTGGGGGCAGGAGGGGGCGGGCAGCTGGACTCCTTCCCTGGGCCTCTTGCTCTGCTGAAACCCTGTGCCTTTGCTCCAGGATCCGCCCCCCTTGTTGGCTGCTGCTTCGATTTCCACAAGCCTGGGCGACATGTAGCAGAGGCGCTGTGTGCCACAGATGTTGGCTGTCAGGGAAGGACTGGCCTTGTTCCTGGGCAGGGTGAAGAGGAGGCTGCTTGCTTTGAATCCTGTTTTATGGTGCTTTGCCCTGCAGGAGCAGCCGTAAAATAGTGTCCCTGAAAGCAAAGCCTTTTATAGCTTCCTGAGGTGCCACCCAGGTGAAAGTGGCATTCACCAAGGGGTTCCTTTTCAGAGGCTCTGTGTCCTCCCGTGGCCCCTGCATCTCTGCCTGCTTCTCTGGAAGAGGAGCAAAGACCTTGACCTTGGGACCCAGGTGGGCTCCTGGGTTCTGCACCAGCAAAGTCCGGCCAGGCTGTGCCCTGCTGGGGGTGGGGTGGGGTGGGGGCCGAGCAGGTGCCTGAAGATAGCCCTTTCCCCAGCCTGCCTAACCACAGCATTCTGTCTGCCCAAGAGCAGGACTCGCAGAAGGCGCCTGCCTCTGAACGTGAGCTCCTTCCCCCCACAGCTCAGTGGCTCCTGGGGCCCTTCCTTGTTCCAAGGGTGACACAGTGTTAGCAGGAAGGAGCAGGTAGGCAGAGTCAGGTGTCATTGATTCTTCCAGCAGCACAGAGGTCACCTCCTGGCTCATGGCCTCTCTGCCGTGCCAGAGTCACTGGGGAGCACCCAGCACCCCCTGTTCTACCCCTGAAGCCAACCCCTTTTCTTGCCTCCATCCAGGTATAGCTACATGATTGACAACGTTATTCTGCTGATCACGGGGACTCTGCACCAGCGCTCCATTGCAGAATTGGTGCCCAAATGCCACCCCTTGGGCAGCTTTGAGCAGATGGAGGCGGTCAACATCGCCCAGACCCCAGCAGAGCTCTACAATGCCATCTTGGTGGATACACCTCTGGGTGAGGAAGAGCCCCACTGATTCAGGGAGAGGGTTTGTTGTCAAGGAGATCTGTGGAATCTGTGGGTGTCTTGACTTTGTGGGTGGCCACTGGTGGGTAATCACGAAACGTCCATTGCTTGCACTTCCTTAATGGCTCAAATTCCCCTTGGTCAGCCATTTTAAGGCAGCCAGTTTGAAATCTCTCTGGCCTTCTTGATTGTGAAGTCTTCACTCCCTTTAGTGAGTGGTCACTGTGGAGATGCAGCTGGTCCAGGATCTCCCTGGCCCTTGCCAGGCCCTGTACAGGACCCTGTTGTTGGCTGGCCGGCCAGCTTCCTTTTGCCCTGCTCACTCCTTCCCTTGTTTTTCAGCTGCCTTCTTCCAAGACTGCATATCTGAGCAGGACCTGGATGAAATGAACATTGAAATAATCCGAAACACGCTGTACAAGGTCAGGAATAGACAGGAAAGCTAAGGGCTATTGCGTTTCAAGGCACCCAGAAGGGGAGCATTACCTCCCTGAGGTTGTTTCTGGTGGGCATCATTGCACTGGGTGCAGGAAAGGGTGCTATTCATTTCGACTGAGAAAAGTTAGCATCCAGTCTGTGGGGAGATTCTCCTGTGGGATTCGTGGGGTTTGGCCTGGGGAGAAACACCTGGCTCACGAGCGGATAGCCACTGAGCCCATCATGTGCCAGCCAGCCAGCCAGCCAGGGTTTTCCATCAGAGCCCATGTGGCAGGCTTCCTCCTTGGTTGACTGAGAGGCGGACCGACTCTCGCATGGGCCTCTTTCTCTCCCCTCCCTCCTCCCCACAGGCTTACCTCGAGTCCTTCTACAAGTTCTGCACAGCCTTGGGAGGCACGACGGCGGATGCCATGTGCCCCATCTTGGAGGTAGGAGGAGCTCCCAGGCCAAGGGGCCTTACCTGGCGTGGGCTTGCCGTCGGCAGGAGAACTGGCTCCTGCCAGCCTGGGAAAGGGTGCCTCTGAGGGATGCTGAGCTAGAAGGGGTGTTGCAGCCTCGAGTTTCAGAGCTGAGCAGGGAGGTCTGTTGATCCCTGAGCCTTCCGGTGTTCCTCCTTCCTTTGCTCAGACTCCTCACTTGTGTGAATGCCCGCACCCACCCGCCCGCCCAGGAGGGGCTAGTCTCCCTCTTGGCTCCCTCTTGTGCCAGGACAGGCCTTTCCTCATGTGTTGCCCCCATTCCTCTTTTCTTGCAGTTTGAAGCTGACCGCAGAGCCTTCATCATCACCATCAACTCCTTTGGCACAGAACTCTCCAAGGAAGACCGGGCAAAGCTGTTCCCCCACTGTGGCAAGCTGTATCCTGAGGGGCTGGCCCAGCTGGCCCGCGCTGATGACTATGAGCAAGTCAAAGCAGTGGCGGATTACTACCCGGTAAGAGCCTCCCTAGCACATTTTGAGGGGCAACGGGGAAAGTGGCTTGCCTGGAGCCTGCCTGCCTGCCTGCCTGCTGGTGCGGGAGCATGTTCAGGCATGCGTCCGTATGTTGAGCAGCTCCTTTTCCCATGATTGTTACGGTTCTGCTGTTGGGGTGGGTGGGGGTGGGTGGAGAAGGGCGTTCCCTCCTGCTTTCATGGGGCTCTTTCCTCCTGCTTGGAAAAGGGGAGCGCTGGGATCAGATCGATTCCCAGGAGCCACAAGTGGTGGCCCCTCCCAAGCTCAGTGGTGCTCTCCTGCAGTGGGAGGGGCGCATATCCCTACTCCTGGCCCCATAGCCCGACCGCCCTTGCAGGTGGGCCTCTTCAGTGTCCTGACAGCAAGGTTCCTCTGCCTCCCAAGGCCGGTGGGAGGGTTTCCACTGACTCCCTGAAATGGCTTGTGAGTGTCAGGAGCTGGCTCTGTGGAGAGGAGGGCGGAGGCTGTCCTTGCCCGGGTCTGTCAGGAGCCTGGCCATACTGAATGATGAAGTGGACCCCCTTCCCTCATCTTGTTTCCCCTTGACAAGACTCAGTTCCCTTGAAATCTCTTCCGTGGCATCAGGTGCCCTGCCCAAAAAACCCCCACCCAAGCTGACTTGTCTTCCTTCTTGGGCTAGAAAATGGTTGCCGCTGGTCAGTGCTTCTCCCCCCCCCCCCCCCCCCCCCTCCTCCTGCAGTGCAGCCTTTGGCACCCCCTGGATGTGCTGGCCTCCTCTTTTGTTTTCTTACGTTTTGATGCCGCCCTTCCCTGCGTGGCGCCTGAGTAGCAGCCTCCAAAGATCCCCTCTGCATCTGCTTCTGTCCTTCCCAGCCACTGCCTCTTGTTTCTCTGCCTCCTGGGTGGAGGAAGTGGAGCCGCTGCTCGTCACCCAGGTGCTCTTCGGTTGTCTGAAGGGCTCCCCCTCCCTGCAAGGGCTGGGCTAACCTGGAGCGGTTGCGCGTCTTGCCTCATCCTGTCTCTCTCCTCCAGGAGTATAAGCTGCTGTTTGAAGGGGCAGGGAGCAACCCTGGGGACAAAACCCTTGAGGACCGGTTCTTTGAGCACGAGGTGAGCAGGCCATCTGGCTGGGGGCATTCCTGGGGGCTGGGGGACCGGCGGGTGGGGTTCGGAGCCCTAGCAGGCGCTGGAGCCGGAGCTGGAGCTCTCTGCGAGTGGATGGGCTGTTTCCACCCTTGTGTCAAGAGGTCCCTGTCGCCTCCTGGCACCAGCCCCGTTAGCCTCAGCAGGGCGATCTCTGCGTTGCAGAATAAGAAGGCAGAGGTCTTGGCAGGGTGTTATGCGGAGTGATTGCAGGTAGAAGAATGGCTGATGAAATTGTAGACCAGCCATAAGGAAGAGTTTCCCAACAGCCGAATTTGAGAAAATGTCCACATAAAAGCCCAATCATGCTAGGGGCTCAAGATGATCTTAGCTGGAGGGCTGGGGAAGGGGGAGCAGTCTCTCTTGAGGGAGGGGATCCTGGCGGTGGGGGCAGTTGCTGTGGCAGGAAAGGCCATCCATCGGTTCTGAAAGTGGGTCGGAAGTTAGGGAGAGGCTGGCTGATCAGATAAAGAGCTAAGCTGGGTGGTGGGAGGTGTGTGGGTTGGTGTGTGGCAAGGTGCCTACCCTTATGCACAGATAGCTCCGGTTCCTTGTCTGGCATCTGTAGTTCAAGGACAGTTGCTGGAGATAGGAGGGACCCTTCACACCGGTGGCGATTCCACACAGACGCCAAAAGTAGGCACAGAGAGAGCGCGCCTGGTGGTATCTTGCGCCCCGTGCTGCCAGCGAGTGTACATAGTTAACTGGGAGGCAGGCGGCCAGAGCTCTTCTGGAAGGGGATTGTGGCTTCTTCTCATGGGCAGGTTCATCTCCCTTGCCAAAAGGTGGTTTGGTACGAGGAGACCTGAAGGCGTGCAGGACAGCTCCCTAGAAGCCTGTCGTGGGTTCCCTGCATCATCTTCTCAGACGGCCCCCCTTGAAAAGCCCTGCACAAGAGAGGGAGAGGCCCTGCGGGTTCTGCCAGGGACCGGTGGGAAAGGCAGCCGTGCTTCAGGGGTTCGTGTCTTGGCAGGTGAAGCTGAACAAGCTGGCCTTCCTGAACCAGTTCCACTTTGGCGTCTTCTATGCCTTCGTCAAGCTGAAGGAGCAGGAGTGTCGCAACATCGTCTGGATTGCTGAGTGCATCGCCCAGCGCCACCGGGCCAAGATTGACAACTACATCCCCATCTTCTGAGGGCTCTTCTGCCCCACCTCGGAAGAGGCCGTGCCCCCCCCGCCTCCTACTCACCTCACCCCAAGTTCCAGGCCCTGAAGCGGGTTTCTTAAGGTAGCATCTCGGCGGAGGCTGCCCAGATGCCCCACGCCCGGCTCCCTTTACAGGTGTAACGTCTCACTGTTTGTGCTCCGTGTAACTCAGACTCGGTGTTCAGCATTTCTGGAGGCAGGCTCAACGCCAGAGGGGCCCTCCTGGTTCTGCCGGCTGACAGCGGGCGTTCCTTCTCCCGGTTTGGCCAGCAACGCCCTCTTTCCGTTCTGTGGCCCCCTCCCCGTGGGCTCCTTTTGGGGACATCCTGGTCACCCCTGAGGCGTGTGTCTCTGCGCTTGCTCAGCCAGCACAAAGTCCTGCCTTGTGGCCGTCAGTTCTGTGGAGTTTGCGGTTGGCCACATCCACACCCACCCACACAGGGACAGCGTGCTGGCTTTGGAAATCCAGCCCCCAAAGAATGGGAGGGAGCGGGGGAGGCCAGGCCCTGTGGCATCTTGTGCTTGGGGTGTGGTCTGAGGGCCGTGCTCGGTGGGTTGTCTTGGAAAGTAGCCCCAGGGCACCTGCCTAGTCCCCTGGTTGGCTCTTGGCCCCACACAGAGTATGCAACGCCTCTTGTTCTGTCATGGGTGCAGCTTGGTTTCTTGGGGGGGGGCAGCTCCTCTGCAACACCTCCTTGGAGAGAGGGGAGGTTCCCGGGGTGTATTGCTCTGCCACTCAGCTTCTCCCGCTCTCCTTCTCTGGCCAGACGGGGTGAGTTGAATGGCCCCTGGAACCAGGGAAAGGGGTCTGGCTGGTTCCCGGATTCCCCTGGGGAGGTGGCAACCCATGCCCACGTGTTTGTCGTGGAAGAGGTTGCTGCTGCCTCCCTTTCCTGGCTCCAGGGCCAGGCCTGTAAGTGCTCCCGCCTGGCCTGAGCATGCGTGCTTGCTGTGAAGGCAGCCTTTTCAGCCCAATCTGGCTGCCTGGCCAGGCCGGAACTGAGCGGAACTGAACGGAGTGCATGTGTGTGTGTGTGTGTCTGGGGCTGCAGCCTGGGCTTATCACTCGCAGGTCTCTCCTCGGAAAGCCCTCAAAGCACCCAGGTCTTCCGTGGTGGCCCTGCCCCTTCCCTTCCCTTCCCTTCCCCAGCCAAGCCTCCCCCTCCTTTTCTAAGGGCAGTGGCCTCCCCTTAGGAAAGCCTGGCCGGGCCCGGCCCCTCCATTGTGAAGGGTGGGGGAGAGTCCTGACAGCAGCCTCCTCCTCCTCCTCCTCGTAGACTTTGGAGTAAGCCATTGCCCTTGTCTGCTGGGGGAGAGCTTTGTCTGGCTCAAGAAGGGGCTGCCTCAGGCCTCTGCTCGTTGGCTCTGCCTCAAGTGCTTGTCTTGGTGTTTGTCTTAGTCTTGAACTGTGATAATAAATTATTTACCACACAAGACACACCTCTAGCTGTCTCTCTGACATATCAAGCAAAAGAGAACTTGTTAACCAGGTGTGGGTTCTGGAATACATTTTCGGTTTTAAAAGTGCACACTTACTGTACTAGATACGGAACCATGCAGTCCAGCCAAAACCTGCCAAGCTCCCTCAGCCAATTCTTAGGTGAGTTTGTTTCCAGGCCTTTTATTACCATGAGGGTCGCCCTCCTCCAGCGCTCTTCCAGAGTCCGCCCATCTCCTTTTCAACCTGGGATGCCCAGAGCTGGCTGCTTTGCTCTAGAGGAGAGCTGGCCTAAGCAGAGGAGACGGTGGCGGTTCCTTCCTGCAGTCTCAAGACTCTCGTGTCCCCGAGTGCCATTTCCTGTGCTGCCAGCCTTTTATAGCTGGCGTAAATGGTTGGCTCATGCCTGACTGGTGGCCTGTGAGGAGGCTGAGATCCTTTCTCTGTCCATTGCTGGCACACCAGCTGAATCCTCCAGCCTGAGTGTGCCAAGGCTCACACGTCTCCTTGTTGTAAAGCATTCTGTTGGCTCCGCCTGCCTGCCCAGCCTAGCATGGAGGTGGGACGGGAGTGGGAAGGTGGACTCCTTCGAAAACCCAGGTCGAGATTGTAAGGTCTCGGGGAGGTCAGGTTTGCTCGCCCATCAGTTCCTTTTGCCTGGTCTTACTCACCTTCGGTTTTGTAACCTTTCATCTTGTCTCCATAAGTATTCTCAAAGACGTACGGGCAAGGGCTGTGCAGGAATCTTGCCTCCCTGGATTCTTTGCAGAAGGCAGTGTGTGTGTGCGCGCATGTGCGCAAAACGGGCTTGTTGGCACTTAAGCAACTGGCCCATGTGCATGGGGAGGGGGGGTCCCAGTCAGGGGAGGCAAGGCTGGAAGTGGGTGAGATCTAGGGGCGTGGGGTGGGCCTGCCTCTGCCCCTGAATCCATGGCTTCTCTGGGCAAGTGGGGGAAGGAAGGAAGGGAGATGCTCTTGGACTCCCATGTTCCCTGGCCACTGGTCCTGCTAGCTGGGGCTGATGGGCACCAGAGTCCTAACAACAGTCCTAATTGTTGCAAGCCACCCAGAGACCTTTGGGTAGTATGGGCGGCATGTAAGTTAAATAAATAAACACTCAGTGTGCCCCACCTCCCAGACAGGGACAGCTGGGAGAGAGGACGAGTGAGGCAGGATCCTGTCCACACCAAGCAGGTAGGGGCTGGTCCTGGCATTAGCTCGGCTCGGCTCCCGTCTTTCCCTCCAAGGCAGCCAGAGACAAAGCCAACAAGTGTTTCAGTGCCTTGTTTTATTTGCAGTGAGAATCACAGCCTTGCTGTTTTGGGGAAAAGATTGGCTGGCTCTGGGCACGTGGGGCCTAAGGCAGCGAGGGGGCCATCGGCTCAGCCCTGGGAGAGGAGAAGGTTGGGCAGGGCAGGGCAGGGCAGGGCAGCTCACCCAGGGCCCTGAGCGACAGAGACCGGCTACTTCCAGCAGCAAGGCAAGAAAACCATTGCCTGCATCTTCCCTTGAGCGCCTGCTTGCCCTGAAGGCCGACCAGGAGCCCATCTGAGGGCGTCGAGCTGAAGCTGACGGAGGTGCGGCATCAGCTCGTTGAGAGGACGGCATGCACCCGGTTTGGGCAGCAGCAGCAGCAGCAGGAGGAGGAGGAGGAGGAGGAGCAGGGCCGCCACCTTCTCACCTGGCCCCAACAGGTGAGGGGACGGAGAGAGGCACCTCAGCTGGGCATCCTTTGCCTCAGTAGGGCCTGTGCTATGGGGTTCTTGGCAGTGGGCAGTGGCTGTGGGCAGCACCATCCCTCCAGCATGGAGGATGACACTGTCAAAAAAAGGCCCCGGAGGGGGTGACCCCTTGCTCCCCCCCTACCCCCAGATCCCAGCAGTGGTGGAAACGAGAGGGTGCCGCTCTCACAGGTGACTCTGGAAGGAAGGAAGGAAGGAAGTCTCTCAGGGTTTCTGAGGCTGCTTCGGTTGCAGGCCCTTGGGCAGCCTCGGGTTGACAAAAAAGGCCTTGAGGAAAAGCTCGCGTGCCCTGCCCGGCAGGTAGTGGTGGATGAAGTACATGAGCCCCACACCCCTCCCCGGGTAGTACTTCGCTCGAGGCCGGGGGGAGAGCAGCCCGTCGGCAATGCTCTCCACCACTGAGCTGAGGTCCTCCACCGCCTGCTTCATGAAGCCCAGGAACTGCCTGTGGATGTCCTCCACGTACTCCTCCCCGTAGGCCTCGAGGAGGTCCGGGGGCAGCGCCGTCAGGAGCTGTTCCTTCTGCTTCTGCCAGTACTTGGGGTCGCAAGAGCTGCCTGCAAAGAAGGAGGGCACAGTGAGGGGAGGGCGCCCCCCCCCAGAGAAGCCCCTTGGCCTCCCTCCCGCTGAAGCGGTCGCTTCGCCTCGTGCTCCAGGGAGCCTTCGCAACTGCTGAATTTAGCCAGGGATGGGGGCGTTTCTCCGCTGCTGCCGGTGACGGCCGGCCGGCCATGGGGGAATTTGCCAGCGTTTCCCGCCCGTTCTCTCACCTGTCTTGAAGTACCCAGGAAAGATCAGGCTCACCCTGATCCCCCAGGGCGCTAGTTCAAATTGGAATGTGTCCATCAGGAGACTCAGGGCGGCTTTGGAGGCCCCATAGCTGGCTAAGCAGGGGTACGGCATGTTACCTGTGGGGGAAACGGAAGAGAGGGAGGAAGAACAGGCAGCCCAGTGGTTCAAGGCCCTTCCCTGCAACAGAACCAGTTCCCTCCTGGCATGTGCCCTCGTTCCCCATCGTTGGGGATGACAGGAAGTCTGTCTCCTCCCTTGGAGGAGCCTGTGCAGGCCGCCTCTGCGCCATCGCACTGCGCTGGGAGCTGAAGTGGGTGGCCCTGCCAGCTGCTTGGCTGTCACCTGCACAAGGAATCACACCATCTGCCACGCCGGCCTTTTTTTGGGTGTGCGTGTGTGTTGGGGGAGGGGGAAGGACAAGTTCCTGATCCACAAAGTGGCAGGGGAAAGCTCACATTACTCAGACAGCACGGAAACCGAAGCCTGGGTCCTGTGCACCTCCCAGCAGGCAGCAGTGATTTCTCAAAGGGGTCGCTTCGCATGATGGGGTCTCCTGGGGCTTTTGCCCCATGGCCGCCTATGGCCAAGAGGGTTGGTTGAGCCTCTGAACCAATACAGAAGCCAGTGGGGCAAGCAGGCTGCGTGGGCATTCTGGGCCCTGCAGAAAGCGCTGGCCCCTTTCCCTGTGGCGCCTGCGAAGCCCGTGGTGCCGCCCAGCCAGGCTCCCCCCCGCCTCTTACCTGCCGGGCTGCTGACGGTGACGATCCTTCCTCGGGACGATCGCAGCAACGGTAGCAGGCCCTTGGTCAGCTCCAGGGTGCCAAAGAAGTTCACCTCCATGCTGGCACGGAAGTGGTGCAGCGGGGTCAACTCTGCGTCGGCAATGATGTCATTGAATCCAGCGTTATTCACCAAGCCCCAGAGTCCTAAGTTTAAGATGGAAAGGGACCAAAATGGAAACCATCATTTCCCCTCCCCAAGGCAAGGCAAGGCAAGAGGCCACTTAACTGGTTGCCATC